TGTATTGCTGTCTGTTTGATAAGTATTCTTTAAACCATAGTAAATTACTGTTTTTTATTTCAAAATGTTCAAGTTTTTTTAAAGGAATGACATGGTACTTCAAAAAATAATCTTTACAACCCGAGCAAAAAATATGTTTAAACTAGAGCTATCGACTGTAAATTAGAACTTTGTTTTTCTCGAGACATGTGCTAATAACAGCTACAATCTTTTCCTAGATAAAATTTTCAATTTGTACGATAAGCATTTCCCTAAGAAAACAAGCCGTATAAAACTAAAGGACTTCTTAATCCTTGGTAATAAAAACCTTTTAAAGTCTTATAAAAATAAAAACTAAAAACCTTTTAAAGTCTTCGAAGCGAAAACAAAAGCTATATATACGCTTTATTAGATCAAAGAAAGAAAGTGATAAGCATAATTACTTAGAGCACAAACGTCTATATGAAAGAACTAAAAAAATAGCCAGAACTACATACTTCAAAAACAAGCTGTTAGAACTAAAAGGTAACTGAAAAAAAACGTGAGATACAATTAAAGAGATTCTTGGAAAACAAAAAAATACACAACAAATCGCTAAAAACAGGTGTTTTTCCAGATAAAATGAAAGTTGCAATTATTACACCCATTTTTAAATCAGGAGATGAAAGTCTGGTTACAAATTATTGACCTATATCAGTATTACCTGTTTTTTTAAAAATCCTTAAACGTATCATGTATAATAGGGTATTTGCATTTTTGTATGATAACAATCTTCATTATTGGAACCAATATGGTTTTCGATCAAATTACTCTACGGAACATGCGCTTATGCAACTTGTTGAAGTTATCAGTGGAGCATCTTTTCATAACAAATTCACCTTAGGTATATTCCTAGACTTGTCAAAAGCATTTGACACTGTTAACCATCAGATTTTATTAGAAAAACTAAAATATTATGGAATAAGCCACGAATACGATAAATGGTTTACCAGTTACTTAATTGATCGAAAGCAGTTTATTTCTTTAAATGAAGGCTTTCAGACAAACAAACTTAAAATATCATGTGGGGTTCCACAAGGCTCCATTTTAGGCCCGCTGATGTACTTAATCTATGTCAACGATCAATATAAAGCATCAAACACTATGTCTACTATTATGTTTGCAGACAACACCACTTTATTCTATTCTCACAGTAATATTATCTATTTCAAGTAGCAAATAGTGAACTAGAACAAATATCAAACTGGCTTATCGCTAACAGCCTATCTTTTAACACTGGTAAAACTAAGTTATTCCATTCTAAACGAAAGTTTCAATATATTCCAAAATCCTTACCAATGTTATATATAAATAACATCAAAATATTACTGATTTTTTTTTTGCTTGGTTGTGTTTATACATGGATTTCATATGAAACTATCTATAGGTACTGTTCGAAAACATTGTAAAAATGCTCGATAAATAGGTTAAAGAAAATATCATGTCTTCACTGCATGGTTCACAAAAATTATGGCTGTGTACAGAACTAATATAGAACGAATTTTATGAATTTATTGAAAAGTTATTGTATGTATATATTTATTGGAAATAAAATTATAAATAAAAGCAAAAAAAATTTTTTTATAAACTTTTTCAAATTTACACCAAAACGGTGTAAAATAACACTGAAACGATGTACAACATCAAATACACCAAAACGGTGTTAATTAATACCAAAACGGTATAAATTAACACTAAAACGGCGTGCAGCATGAAATACGCCAAAACGGTGTAAATTAACACCAAAACGGTGTAAATTAACACTAAAATGGTGTGCAGCATGGAATACGCCAAAACGGTGTAAATTAACACCGTTTTTGTGTATTTCATGCTGCACACCGTTTTGGTGTAATTTAACACTTTTTAATTTAGAGTATATATATATATATATATATATATATATATATATATATATATATATATATATATATATATATATATATATATATATATATACACTCTAAATTAAAGCATGAAATACACCGTTTTGGTGTATTTCATGCTGCACACCGTTTTGGTGTAATTTAACACTTTTCATTAAAACAGTGTAAAAATAGAAAAACTTTAAATTATTTAAATTTTATACTAAAACGGTGTAGTTAACAAAAAAGGTGTTATTTTACACCGTTTTGATAAAAATACACCTACAGAGTTAAATTAAACTAAAACGGTGTAAATTTACACCTTTTTCTGAAATTATTTTCAATTAACACTTTTTGAGGTTATATTAACACCAAAACGGCGTGATTTAACACTTTTAAATTTAGAGTGTATATATATATATAAAAGAAAAAACTTTATCTTAAGTTCAAATTTTAAAAAATTTCTTTTTTTAATTGAAACTTAAATGAATTTAAAGACTTAAATGAATTTTAAAAAAATGAAATGAAACTTAAATGAATTTAAAGACTTCATCATAAATTTAAATTCCTTTTGACAGTCATTCCATAAATTAGGTCCTCGATAAGATACAAAATTCTGAGAGTTTATTACATTTCCGAGGCAATTTAAAGTTTTTATTTCTATTTGATTTTAGAATTTATTTCAAACTTATCTTTGAAGTTTGCTGGCAAGAGGTTGTTATAGTATCTAAACATAAAAATTAGATGCGGATAAATATTTATTTCAAATATATCCATCATTTTCATATCTCTCATAAGAGGTTTTGCATGTTCACGTTTATGTTTACAGTATATAATACGGCAAGCGTGTTTTTGGAGCCTATAAATTTTTTGAAGTTTTGAAGTTTGCGTACTTACCCATGATATATTTGCGTAATTAATAAAACATTGTATCAGTCCAAAGTATATTAATTTGAAACTTTAACATATTGACGTATGGTCTAACCCTATACATTACGCCAATATTTTTGGTAACTTTTGAATGTATGTAATTTATATGGGAAAGCCAGGATAAATTTTCATCGACAAGGATTCCGAGGAACTTTATACTTGTTTTTTAATTATTGCATCATTTAAGTACAGTTCGCGCAATTTAAGAGGAATGTTTAATTCTTGTGTTTTTTATAGAGTATAGTTGGTTTTCTCAACATTAAGTGTGAGTTTGTTAGCTTTAAACCAACTATTTACTTTATTAAATTCTATCTTCATATCTGTATAAAGATGTTTAATATGATTATTGGTAAGAAATAAATTAGTATCGTCTGCAAACATTATTGAGTTCAGTTTTAATGATGCATTACAAAAGTTGTTAATATAGATTAAGAATAAGAGCGGACCAAGGATTGATCCTTGTGGAACTCCCCAAACGACATTTAATATTCCGGATTGCACATTATGAACATATTACTTTCTATCAGTAAGAAAACTTTTAATCCAGAAATAGGTTGTATTAATTATACCATAATGCTTAATTTTTTGTAAGAGATTATATATATATATATATATATATATATATATATATATATATATATATATATATATATATATATATATATATATATATATATATATATATATATATATATATCAGGCCCGTAGCAACCGGGTGGGCAGCAGGTGTTTTTGCCCCCCCCCCCACAATAATTTTTCAAATAAATAATTTTGAAGAAATTTAATGAAAAATGACTAAAAAAAAAGGTCCTTAAACCTACTTTGGGGTAGTGTTTAAGGACCTTTTTTTTCAATTTTCTTTCCTACGGCCCTGTATATATACATATATTTATTCAAAATTTTTAACAGTTCTGGTCAGAGTAGCCATATGGCTACCAATAAGATTATAAGGGCATAACAGCAACTTTATAAATTAATTTTCAAAAACTACTTTTTAACCAAATTTTATAACCTTTTAAAATACAAAATTAAATATTATACAACCGGCAGCATTATTAAAACTTTATTAACTCACAATTAGCAATATAGTTCTAAAACAAGTCAAAAAACCCTTAGTAAATCATTAAGTCTGTATTTTAAAAAAATAATGTTGAAACTCTAATTTGAAGAGTTTTTATTTTTGTATCAAACTGATACTTAAGGAAAAAAATAATGGTCTTATGTATAATGCAAAGTAATGCATGTTGGGCGCGGATGTAACAAGTCGACGTACAAATATTCAATGTCTAACGTCGACGGCACCCTTCGTCCTCTCAAAAAAACCGCAGTCGAAAGAGACCTTGGTGTGATGGTCTCTAATGATCTTAAAGTCAGACCGCAAATAGAGTCAGCCGCATCAGTAGAAAATAGAATGCTAGGCGACTCAAAGAAACATTTCGCAGTCGCAGTTTTTATTTATGGCGCACTCTGTATCTCACTTACATTCGCCCCCATCTTGAGTTTGCTGTACAAGCCTGGTCACCGCATTTAAAATCATACATTACCATTCTCGAGCAGGTCCAACAACGAGCAACAAAAACAATATCGACTATTAAACACCTGTCCTATGAAGATCGACTCCAACGGCTTGGTTTAACAACTCTTGAAGAACGCCGCAAAAGAGCAGATCTTATCGAGCAATTCAAAATCATTCGTAAACTCGAGCTTATCAGTTTTGTCGTCCCGCAAACGTACTTTTTGAAAAAAAATTTCAAAAAGTAAAGATAAGTATATTCTAAGAGGCCATAACCATAAACTAGAACGTCAGATGGTAAAAAACTGTGAGGAGCGAAATAACTTTTTTTCAAACAGAATTGTCGCCCCATGGAATGCGCTTTCGCAAGAAGCAGTAAACGCTCAATCCATCAACGCTTTCAAAAATAACATAAGAAAGTAACTTTATAGATACAACTGCTGCTTTGTCTGTAGCGTCTGTATCTCCATGTTCGTCAGCATAGAGGGGCCTGGTTAGCACCTCTTCATCAAATTATAAATGGATTATTGTATTTGTATTTGATCACTGAAATAAATAAATTTAAAAAAATAATGAAAAATAATACGTTATTAACAAAATAAATAACTCTAGAAATAGGTAGTAGCCATAAGGCTATTGTAAACAATAAAGGGTTAATCGTTAAATCCACCACGCTTGAAATTACAAAAATTTATGTTTCGTGCACTTTTCATACAAGACTCACAATGTTTACGTGCTATTTCGTTTTGTTGAAACATTAATTCTGTTAAAAGTTCTGGTTCGCTTCTAAATTTTTTGAACAAAGTTAAAAATGTCTTACCCAAAGTAAGAAAAGTTTTTTCTTATATATGCGATCATTTTAAAAGTATTTGATCTATAAGTATTTAAGTGTTTGTCATTTAGTATAAAAAAAAGTTGTTTGTAAATACTTTCGTTTTGATCTAGTTCGATTTTAAATATAATCATGACAAATGTATAAATATTAGTATATATGTATATTCTTAAATAACTTTATATTTTGTATATTGCACATTTTTAAAATAACTTTTTGACGATGCTTAACATTATCTGTTAATATATATTGTACAAATTGAAACAATAAGCGTAGATGTCAAGAAACTTCCTTATTTAAGTTTTAAAGAACATTTTTTTACTTAATTTACCCTTTAAATTATGAAATTTAAGAAATTTATACACCTTGTTATTTATAAGTTTTGGGGCCAATTGGGTACGTTGACCTACATCTTTTTCTTGATATGTTACTTTTATGAATTTCGTATTTTTAATTTTATTTTATGGAAAAAGTTTAAAAATACCCTAGACAATAGAAGAAATAACATTATCAAAAGTTTATATTCAGTTTTCAGACTAAAAGTAAATAATCAAAGTTGGAAGTTTGAAGTTGTTGAAAAAAAACATTCTTTCACATTTCTCTCTTAAGAAATTTTCTAACTTCTAAAAAAAACACATAAGTTTCTTATTTATTTAGTAGCCCCTGTTTGTTTTTTATACCAAAAAATAAAGCATTACAATACAAATCTAAAACTATTTAATAATAATAAAAGTTCTTTAGGATTTTAAATGATAAAAGTTCTTTACTATGGTTGATGTGCTTTATGATAATGAAGCAGGTTGATGTTAGGTCAACCTGCTCCGTTGTTTTTAGAGTATAATTAACTTTATTCTTAAACTATAAGTGTCAAACTTGATACTTACATAATGCAGTACCAATCAAACACTGGTGAGTAAAAAGAATTTGATTTGATCAAAAAATTAGCAGAAAAAAACAATCACAATTCCAAGTATGTCCCAATAGTTTTTTTTTTTTAATATAAAAAGGCTTGAAGTATCTCTAGCCTTTACCTAGACTCCTGGTTTATTAACGTGCTTAATATTTGAATAAAGTAAACTAGGACAATCTGCCCCTATTGCCATTATGCCTCAGTCTACCATACATGTTTGTTAAAATAGTATTAATATAAAGTATCGCAATAATAGCATTATTATAATTAATAGTGTTATAACACTATTTTAACAAGTGAGTTTATATTTTAATAGTTTATAATATATATATCTATATTTTTAATTTCACATACATTAAGCAACCCTTAAAATTAAAAAAAAAATTAGGTCAGCAATAAATTGCCAACCTCAAACTGTTAGAGGTCAGCATTAGGTTGCCAAAAATATTTGACACAGGGGGTTTACCATAAAACATAAAAATAAGGTCAGCAATTTTTTGCTAACCTTACACCCTTTTTGGTTAGCATTGCCGAATGCCTAATTTCGATTGTCGATTAAGTGTGTATAAATCAAATACTGCTTAAGTTTGCTTGTTTTTAAAATTATGTAATGTATTTTATGTATAATAAAACTATAGAATTACTTCATGTAACAGTCTTCATTATATTTTTTTGTAGAAAAGGTTTTAAATATATCTTAAATATAGCTCAACAGTCTTTTAATAGCTTAGTAATATTTTGCAATGTGTATATCATACATGCTGCAGTATGTTGTAATATATATGTAGTATAATATTTTAATTACTAGTTTTTTTTTAATTAAATCATTTCTAGTATTCCATTTAATGTGAATGAAACTTTATTTATTAGTCAAGGACCATATCCAGGAGCACCTTCAGGTCAAGCACAATATCCAGGAGCACCTTTAGGTCAAGGGCCATATCCAGGAGCACCTTCAGGTCAAGCACCATATCCAGGAGCACCCTCAAGTCAAGCACCATATCCAGGAGCACCTTCAGGTCAAGCACCATATCCAGGAGCGCCTTTAGGTCAAGTACCATATCCAGGTGCACCTTCAGGTCATGCACCATATCCTGGAGGACCACCAACTCAAGGACCATATCCTGGAGGCCATCCACAAACAAATTACCCACCTTCTGGTTATCCACCAACAGGTCATCCACCATCCGGTTACCCTGTTGGTAATCCAATCCATGGAACTGCTCCAGGATATCCACCACAATTAGGTAGTCAACCTCCTTCAGGATATCCTCAGGGAGGTTATCCAGTTCAAAGTCATTCTTTGCAAGGACAACAATCTCATGCAGCATATCCTCCTGGTGTTACTTGCCCACCTAGTAATTTAACCAAAAAAGAATTAAAAAAAATAAAGAAAGAACAAAAAAAGCATCTTGCAGGAGGATTAGCGGTTGGTGCAATTGGAGGGTATATGGTAGGTCAGGCACTTAAAAAGAACAAAAAGCATAAGAAAGATAAACATGGACATAAAAGCTCAAGTAGCAGTAGTAGCAGTAGTAGCGATAGTGATTAATGCAACAGCAGTGTTAATGGAATAGAAACATAAACATATACTAATTAATATTATTTATAATACATAATTTTTAGTGAAATTAAAATGATTTTTTTTAATGTTGAATTTATTATTTTGCTTTTTGTCACATCAGTGGCGGATTAAGACTTCTTGGGGCCCGGGGCTATTTTTGTTTTTGGAGGCCTTTTTATGGGCCAGAGCCTAAAAATTTGCGGGACCTGTGGCTATAGCCCCCCTAGCTCCCCCTTGATCCGGCACTGTATCACATCAAGTATAACATATAAGTATTTTGAACAAATGAAAGAAAATTTAAATTGTATAGTATTGTTATCACACAAATAAACTTGTTTTTTTAATTCATAAATTGAATTTAATACTAAAATATGCGGGTTTCAAATGTCACTGGTTCACTGGCGACATTGTCATGTGTGTATGCATGCACGAGTTTATCCCTATCGATCTACATTGGGGGGCCAAATTAATAGGGAAAGTACAAATGTTCTGACTTTTTTTGGCTACATTTTTTCGCTGTTTAATAAGTAAAAATTAAGACAATATCGTAGTTTTTCAAAAGAAAGATTTAAGTGTTACTGTTTGCCTTGACAACATAAAATAGTAATATTCAAATTAATTACGTAATAATATTCAAATTAATTCAAATTAATTACTTTTCAATTAAAATTAATTCAAATTAATTACTTCAAATTGTTTGAAGTAAATGAAATTAATTATTTCAAATTCAAAAATATTTATTTCAAATTTCAAAAATGAATTAATTATTTTAAATTTCAAAAATAAATTATTTCAAATTGAAATTAATTATTTCAAATTAATTAATTCAAATTAATCACTTCAATAAAAAATTAATTTAAATTAGTTATTAATTCAAATTAATTACGTAATAATATTCAAATTAATTACGTAATAATATTCAAATTAATTACGTAAAGTGAGCAATCTGCAAATACGCAACAATTGTCATTTTTGACATGAATAGATTAGCCATACTTAAATGCCAAGCAAATAAAATTTATGTAGCAGATTTGCTACACGGGGCTCTTAAGGGTTATATAAAAAATTATTTTTATGCAACGTTGTAGAGCGCGATAATTATATTAGATAAACGTTTTTTTTTTAACATTCGTTAAACGTTTACGAATATTCGTTTGTTTTCATTTTATTCGTTGAACGATCGCTGAACAAATAGAATTTCATTTTATTCGCAGAACGATTGCTGAACAAATATTTATATGATGAACAAATATATTGTTCATCATTATATAAATATTTCACGAATATTCGTTAAACAAATATATTCGTTCCCGCTTATTCGCTGTATGAATAAAATAATCGTTCAGCGAATATACTCGTTAAAAAACAAGACATTAAATTTAGTTTGTATATTGGTCACTTGCTTAGATATATCGACAACACTTTTCAGATTTAAATATGCCACATTCTCAAAGGCAGTGTTTAATAAAGTTTTTCATATACATTTTTTAATTTTTATTGTTATCCTGTGATCTATCTACTTATTACAGACCACCTGATGGCAATATTATCAACTTTGCATAATAATTAAAACAATTTTTTAAATTAAGAACAACAACGAAAAAAAAGTTTATTATGTTTAAGAAAGTATATTTTTTGAACAAATTTTCTTATTTTTTTGTTGTTATCTTCGTACATCGGCCAAGTGATACTTTCTGCCTCCTTCAAGTTTTCTTTCATGAAAACCATCATTTCAATAATGTCAATGCTATTCAATAATACATTTAAAAATAAGACATGCAATTATACCTTAATTGATATTAACTTCCTCAACAGTGGGCATCCAATCTTCAATTTTAGTTGACGTTTCTGCATATATCGCAATTCATTAAAATCTCGATGTATTTCTTTCATAATCTTTTCTGAGGTAAGGTTCTTAATCAAGTAAGAATGAAATGTTGCAGAACTCGACGGAATCTAAACAAATTAGTTGGACTATTCAGTCATTCTTTTAAGACTACGAGCTTTTTGATGAAAATTGCTATTGAATATTAGCAACCACAAAATAAACGTATCCAGAAAGTATCAACTCATTGGAATTCTGACCTGAGGCAAATAAATCTATTATCGATCTAAAAGGGTGCTTGGCTATTATGGCAGAAACATCAACTAAAATTGAAGATTAGATGCCCACTGTTGAAGAAGTTAATATCATTGAAGGTATTAGTGAATGTTTTGATCCAATAGATAAAATTTCACAAGTTTTAAGCTCTGACAAAGACCCAATAATCAATTTGGTAATATTGAAAATCTATAATCTTCAACTTTATCTATAATCTTTAAAATCTATAATCTTCAATTAGCTAAAATTGAAAAACTTAGTTTTTCAATTTTAGCTTTGAAAAATTTTAAACTGAAAAACTAAGTTCACTTACATGTGTCACGAACATAACTCAAGCTCTAATAGCAGAATTTCAACAACATTTTCGTAATTGTGGTCATAAAGTACCAGAGTATTCAACAGCGTGTTTCTGAATGTGGTCATAAAGCACCTGAGTATTTAATGGCACATTTTTTTGACCCAAGGCAAACGGGATTAATCATTTTTGCACTTGATGAGAAAAGTTACAAAAATATCAAGGATACCGCTACTCAAACTATAATCGATATACGCCGAAGAGATCTGGGCAAAAGTCCTTCATGCATTGAAAACTCTAACCAAAGCTTTCAAGAAATATTTCATTAATGTATAAAGCAAAATTTTTCGTAAATATCATTTCCTTAAAAAGTTTAAACTTTTCATTAATACATAGTCACCTAAGCTATGGTAACATGGCCTGGGCAAACACAAATTATACTGAGCTTAAAAAACTCTACAGTAAACAAAAACATGCCTGTAGAATTATCTTCGGAGTAAGTAAAAAAGTGTCTTGTGAACCTCTCTTATGCAAACTTGGAGCATTGAATATATACAAAATTAACATACATCTTGTTTTACAGTTTATGTACAAAATAAAATATGGATATCTCCGCCAATATTTCAACCCTATTTTAATTAAATAAGTCATAAATATCCTACTAGATTCTCATATAACAAAATTGTCATCCTAAAATTTACATTAAAGTTAAATTCATACTCAATCCAACAGCGGACCTTACTCGTGGAAAATTTTTCCCCAGATTGTTACTATCAAAAGAAATGAACTTGAAAACAAAAAAGAAATGAACTTGAAATGAACAAAAAACTTGAACAGTTTAAATCTGAATCAAAGCGTTTTTTATTATCTACAAACTTTAATTTTCTTTTTCTTTTTCAGTAAAAAAAAATAAATTTGCACAATTTGTTTCTTTTATTTGCTTTAACTTTTACTTGTTCTAAATTTATTTTACTAAACGAATTTATATATAAACAAAACGTAGTTTTACACATTTTTACACATTTTTATCACAAACAATTTATCAAGATTTTATATATTTTGTTGTAAAAAAAAAAACAGTAATAAAGTCACTATGGGGCTCGGTGATAAGACAAACTAATGTATTCTTTTTGCTCCAGCCATTTGTTTTATTATTTATGTTATTTTATAAATTGTAACTTTCTACGGCAAAATTAAAATATAAATAAAAAATATAAATAAAAATAAATAGATTTAGCAAAATTTTTAACCACTCAGGAACCTAGTGTTCATAGAGCTTGTAGGACATTTGAAAGTATCTGATGATTAGCGCACCAAAGATTGTTTTTGATAACTGTGCTGATGCCCATAGCTTTTATAACATTTGAACCTCCGTCAGTTGTTGCCCATTTTTCTCCAAGTTCAAGCGTTTTATTAAGTAATCTAGTTTTTCTACGATATTTTAGGCATTATGTGCATCAGGAAATGAATCAAGTTTAACAAGAAGTTGTTTAAGCTGAATAATTTTGTAATATAATGAAGAGTGAGAAATTGGGAAGCAAGACTATTACAAGAAGTCCAGATATCAGTAGTAAAGATACAACCATCAATATCAATCCTCTCATTGTCAATAATTTTGTTCATATGATCACTGATGCATTTATATAATTTAGGAATTCTGTCCTGAGAACGCGATTTTGATGAAACAGGGTTATACTTCCCCATCTTTGATTGCTTTATAATTTCATGAAAATATTTACTATTCACTTTCTTAAAAGGTAATTGTTTGTGGACGATCTACTTAATCGATAATGATATCTATTTAGTCGATAATATTACATTTTAAATATGGTCTTTGGGCCATAAAGTAACAACATGATAAGTTTTAGACGCTTCAGCATTTCTCGATTTACCAGATAATGTTAAAAATTGAGTGTATGACTCAGGAGTGGCAACGAAAAATCAATTTCTGAAGAGTCGTTATCATTAACAATTTGAGGCTTTTTCGCAATCTGTTGGGCATAATTAAGTTTTTCATATTCCGAAAAAACTTGGCAGTGTTGTTCTTTTAAATGATTAATAAGACCTGAATAGGGCCGATGACACCGGGGGAAAAGAGGGGAGGCACGTGCTCCCCACTTTTTTTTTAAAGGAATTTTTTTTTAAAGAGAATTCTAGATATAGAAGACTTTTTTTAAGAAACGACGATTGTGCCCCCCACTTTAAAACCAGTGTGAAGTAGGTTTTAGCAACAAGTTCTTTTTCATACACATTACACTTTGCATGAGTAGTATCAGTCATTTCAAAGAAATCCCAAATACAAGAATTTTTGGGCATTTTATGAAGCAAAGGCAGCTTACACCTGAAATTTCAAATGTTTAATCTAAATTAACGTAAATGAAAGGAAATTTCTTTAGAATATCATTAGTATAAACAGATTTTGTTGGAAAAGAAATTCTTATCTTTAACTTATTAAATTTGTTTTTAATTAATAAGTAATGTTTGCTCGCTTATTATATATTATATCATATACCTATAATAATTATATTATGGAATTTAAATAAATCATCAGCAAGATAACTTTACTTGTAAATTTTTTTTCGCAGTTTATTCTTTTAAATAAATCTTAAATATAAATATTATTTAAATTATATTTATATTTATATGTATACGCATATGTACGGATTTGTAAATTATTTTTTCAAAATTTTTTATTTTTTATTATTTTCAAACTTTTTAGTTTTGTCAAACTTAAAAATTATTTTTTCAACTTTTTGATTTTTTCAAACTTTTTAATTTGTTTTTTTTTAAACTTTTTTTAATTTCACTCTTTTATATATTATTGGAAATTGTAAAATTTTTTTTATTTTCACGAAAGGGCTTGATGATAAGACATTTTGTCTTCTACTTGCCCCAGTCAGCTTGCATTTGTATAAATTTATTTGAATGTAAGGTTAACATTGTAAAATGTGTCAAATGACGAAAAAAACTAACTTTAGCACATTGTTTCATATATATAATAAGTTAAGTAATAAATTATATAAATAATTATAGTAAAAAGCAAGACAATTACAAAGCTTAAAATGATATTTTTGTTCGGAAAAGCTCCGGGTAACACTACTAAACTTGATTTGTTTAAAAGAATAAACTGCGAAAAAAAATTTACAAGTAAAGTTATCTTGCTGATGATTTATTTAAATTCCATAATATAATTATTATAGGTATATGATATAATATATAATAAGCGAGCAAACATTACTTATTAATTAAAAACAAACTTATAAGTTATGTTTTCTTACTTATTATATAAAGTAAAGTAACAATAATAAATTGTGATAAAAACAACAAATTGCGTATAATTATATAATTATATAAATAACATAACAATTACATTATACATCGTTGTATATTTTAGGTCAAAAACTCTGATGGCTTGACCTGAGAAAATGGTTAGCATTGGGTGAAAGTATATTCATCCCTGGTACCTGGGAACCAAATTTTGAAATTAAACTATTTCGTCCGCAAGAATAAGTTTAATTTGAAATTTCTCTTTATTTTTCCTCAAAATGAAATGACAGCTATAAAATTTTTTTGCATTTTTACAGTAACTTCTAATTTTTTGGTTAGTGAATATGAAATAGTAATAAACATAATGTTTTTACAAAATAACTATTTATTACTCAAATAATAAATTTGTTTATTCTTCTTTTATAAAAATTTTTCAGGAATTAGAATATTGTAACTCTTTTGTCAATAAAACAATTTTCTTCGGGAAACGGCTTTGCTATCATTTTAGTTAAAGTTTGCTAAACAGAAGTTTGATACAAAAACACTTAAAATGTCTAATCGGGCTAAGAATCATAAGGAATGCAGGAAAACTGTTTGTTGGCTGTGTTTCCACAAATGTACAAATCAACTGACACAATTTTAAATTCAGAGTATGTCAAAAATTTACAACCAGCCTTTGGAAACATCTGATGTCAGGGTTCCACTTGGACTTTATGAAGCTTCTAGTACAATTCTAAAAAGAAGAGATGCAGGAAAAGATGCACAACTTCCAGTCTTATTTGATTTTTCATCCATCACAGTGAAACCACTCACTCGTGGGCAAGAATGCTGTTGGCTTATTTGCCAAATTGGGCACTCAAAGCTCAATCAAAAATAACTTTTTTCAACTTCCCACCATGAAGGAGAGAAGCTTCGAAGGTGTGGTGACTACCTAAGCCTTATTGAACGTGGACTTATTCATTCCCGTATACCATCCACATTTAGAGAAAATATGAGACTTTTGGCAGCTCAAGATACAAATACTGCAGAACAAATTGCTACTTAATTACTTTCAAGAAAGGAATCATCTCTCAATGGCACAATACGGACGTCAAGGCCTGGAGGAGATCCTCCCTTACAAGTTACACCATGTACTGTTTCATTTCTTATTGTTTTGACTGCATTGCTTCTTAAATTTGATTTAGCTTTGATTTAATCATTGATGGCTCCAAAGACACATAACTTGAGATTATTTTAAAAAGCTTGTTTTCTATTGAGTTTTCAACAATTTTATTCAATTTATTTGTAAGTCCTTCAAGTGCTAGAAAACTTTTTGATGATTCTCCAATCACTGCATAAAGCCTTGTTCATGTCCAACAAAATATTGAATTGCCTAACTTTGGCATGAGAAAATTAGCATCCCCCTTGAACCAAGTTGCCTAGGTAGAATCAAAGTGGTAGAACCAAAATTCCGGTCAAAATTTGACAGCTTTGGAAAAACTCTCTCAGACTTCTTTACCCAGAGTACAATACCCACGGGAGAAAAGCAAGCAAATTCAGAAGGAGGTCATCTGGTCATTCACTGCAAATCTATGCAAGACATAATTCATGAAGTATTAATGTACAGAAAAATTTTCTGCAGTCACTTCTTTAAGCTTGGTATAGATGGTGGAGGTGGGTTCCTAAAATTCACTCTTGGTGTGATTGTAGATGAATCTTGACTCTTGGTGTGATTGTAGATGAATCTAGACAACAACTAATCATTGCTATTGCTGAGAATCTACCAGAGTCATATGACAGCGTCAAGCAAATTTGGTCACTCATAAATCCAAATCAGATTAATCTTGTTGTTTCTTGTGATTTAAAAGTAGCAGATCTTCTCCTTGGACTTCAATCACACTCCAGTTACCATCCTTGTTCATGGTGCAATGTGGAATCAAAGAATTTGGAGTAATGTGGTGAGAGCAGAACAATAGGATCACTCAAAGCCAAATATCATGATTTCAAATCATCAGGAAGTGATCATAGGAAGGCAAAGGTCTATGGCAATGTTGTTCATGAGCCTGGTAGTTTTCATTATATATAATATTATGAAAAGTACCAGAAATGAAAAAAAAAAAAGAAAAAAAAAAGAAAAACGGAAAAATATTTTTCCTGTTTATAAACTTAGGCATATAAAAGGGATATTTAACTATTATTATTATTATTATTAAAAATGATGATTAAATAAAATTTTAATGAAATGAGGTTTTTATGTCTTAAATGATGTCATGTATGTATGTTTTAAAATTTTTTAAAAAGACTTAAATGATTGCTCAGTCTCCTTTTTATGTGCAATTTTTCTAACACACGTACTAATGTTTTAACACTTGTAGTTTTTTTTTTTTAAATCTAGCATTTTTCTGCTAAAACGACTCCACCAGCATATGTCGGTGGCGGCTTCGTAAATGGATCGTGACCTGCAGGGTGTTGGTTTAACGTGACTCCGTAATTAACTGAAAGAGTGTAGATCACAATACGATATTTAGTTAGTTTATTGAGTTAAAGCCTTGTTAAACTCATCATCAGCTGAGTATACGCATCTTTACCCGACTCGTATGTCGGTCACTTTTGTGTGGCATTTACGGTAAATGATGAACTGTAGTAAGTACAATGACTGAAAACTGTAGTTGTATAAATTTATTAACTGATGTTGCCTCGATGACATTATCTGTCCAGTAGTTGTTTAAATTTATCAACTGAAGTTGCCTCGATGACATTATTTGTCCAGTAGTTGTTTAAATTTATCAACTGATGTTGCCTCGATGACATTATCTGTCCAGTAGTTGTTTAAATTTATCAACTGATGTTGCCTTGATGACATTATTCGTCCAGTAGTTGTTTAAATTTATCAACTGATGTTGCCTCGATGACATTATCTGGCAAAGCATTCTAGTCATTGACTACACGGTTGTTAAAAACTTACGTCTAACATCTCGCGATGAAATCTTATTCGATGTTGAGCTTTGTGTGTTATGCTGCAAAGCTTTACGTGCCAATTAATTAGGTTTAAATTGTAGAAAAGCTTATATTGTTGAATAAGATCGCCTGTTTTCCGTCTGGATTCAAGAGTGCTTAATTTCATGATTTTACATCGAGTTTTGTAGTCTTTATTTTTCAAAGCCTGAGCAACTTTCGTCGTGTTGCGTTGTATTTTTTTCAATTTTTTTTATGCCACTATTAAGGTAAGGGTTCTAAGCTTGTAAGAAAAAGTCCAAATGTGGTCTAATAAACTTTATCGAATACCTTTGCATAGTCAAGAAAAATTAGATCGACTGATTTTTTCTTTGAGTTAAAAAGTCCATTGTTTCTAAAAGATTTGTGATGCGTGACTATGACTATTGCCTAACTATTTTTTCGAAAAAATAGGTAGACAAGTGATAGTCGATCAATTGGTAAAAAACAAATTGCTTTCCAAAACTCAACATGGCTTTATTTCAAAAAAGACATCACAAATCTTTTAGAAACAATGGGTTTTTTGACTCAAATCAAATCACTCATCTTTTAGACTCATAGCAAACAATTCTGGAGTTTGATTACTTTCAATTAAAGTAATAAAAGTGCAAAACTTTTATCAAATTAAAATATACAAAAATATATTGTTTATGGTAAAATACCATATTATCATATACTATTTTATTTAGTATTTTTTTAAAAAATGTTTGTAAATGCAACAGAGAAACAGGAAACAAAAACCTTCGAATAATCTATTTCACACCACGACCCCTATTCATATAACAAACTAGCATTAAAAAATAAATCAATTTGTAATATTGATAATCAAAATTCCTAACTGATATTTTTATTAAAAAACTACTATTTTTATAATTGTCGATTATTAATTTCAAGTTTCGAATAATATTTTCATTTTTAAATACTGGTTTTTTATATAGAGTAAAGGAAACTTCCATTTTAATGTTCGAAGCTACTTTTCTATCACGATTACTATTTTCAAAATTGGATTTGCAAACAGATCTATGCAAAATTAACATATTTCTTTTATGTGATATAATTTTTGAATTAAGTTTAAACTTTTCCTAATAAACAATTTATAGAATGCTTTTAGTTTTTTACTTTTGATTTTTGTTATGATTGACATTAAAAATGAGGTTATTGTTAATCAGGTTTGCATTATTCATTGTAGAAAATAAGAATTTAAATATACAAAACAGATGACCGAATATTTTTTTACAAGACTGCTGCAATTTTAAATGTAAAAATTTTACCTTACACGTATTTAAACTTATGTGATTTTTAAACTGGTAATTAGTTTACTATTGAATTTAATTATGAATGAGTGAATTGGAACGGAAAACAATACAGTTTGTAAAATGTTAAAATGTTGTTTCGTATATAAGTATTATTTCGAAATTGTTTTTAAGTTTTAAATCAGACTTTAATTATCATGTCAGCTGAAAGTTTTCTGGATTTAAATAAATTTTTTTTTTATTAAATCATAGGCTTTCTTTTTACTCTTTTTGCACTTGTCAATAATGTTCTTATAGCATCAAATGTTCCTGTTGGAGCAGACAGGTCTCCATATATAGGATCCCACCAACTTACGTTAGCTGTTTTCCACGGATTACGATCAATATCCGTTATCGGATACTTTGGAAGATTTTCTAAAAGAACCTCGCCTCTACAAACCGGGGGTGAAGTATACATAACATAAGTCGCATTCACACTAGACAGAGGAATATGATGGTACCAATTTCTATAAGTCGAATTGTCTATACACTTTGTCTTTTGTTTACTACTTTCCAACTTTCCTACCTGATTTACATTTACATCAGAATTCGGCAATTCTTCTGGCAGTGGTGGTACACTGTTAATTACTTCTATTAAAGGTAAAGGTGGTGCATCATTAGAATCATTTTCATCTAGTGCAATATCCATTTCGCATGGACCTTCTTCATTATCAAACTTAAGTCGCTTAATAATAGGCTCTTTATCGGAATATCCCATAAGGGCAGCACGCTTTTTCAAAATTTGAAGTCCAACATCTGGTTGAAACTCTGGAAAATTCATTTCTCGACTTTGATCTTGGACACCTAAATACAAAAGTGCAAATTAAAAATGCATGGTAATAAAAGAACTTGATACAAACACAAGTACATCATGGTACAAGATGTTTGTACCAGAGATGGGGAGCCGGATGTTATTGGAAGTAGCCAGAGCCATTGGTTTTTGGAAAGAGGTGGAGCTGGAGCTGTTAAAAAACCAGAGCCAGAATAAAATACTTGGAAGCCGGAGCCACAAGTTTAAAAAAACATGGAGTCGGAACCTGAACAAGAAATTTAAAAAAACCTGGAGCGGGAGCCATGCCTAATTCTTCTGGCTCCCCACCCCTGATTTATACACCATGAGACAAAATATACAGATTTATATAGGGTTGCCAGACGGCCGGCTTTCACGAAGAAGAACAAAGTAAAAAAATATATTTTTACAGGTTAGGGGCTGTATTCTCCTCCGTAAAAGCTGGACGTCTGGCAACCCTTTATAGCTTTATATAATATTCATCTCTTTTCTCAAACTTTGTCAAAAAAAACAACCTACTCAACGCACTTATTACAAGTTATCATACTTTTGTCTAGCTTGTTCTCTGTTATTACAAACATACATTTGTTCCGGTCCGTAACATATTAAACCTATTTAGCTTTTAACTATAAAAACAAAATGCAATATATTTACCAGAAAGATAAATATAAAGATGTTACAACGTAAAAAAAAAAAAATGTTATACGAGCATAAAGCATGTTATAAAGTACAAAAAAAATTAAAACATTTAGAAGATTTAAAAATTAATAAAAATATATATAATTTATAATTATTATATTATATTAATTTTTATAATATATTATAACAATTAATAATATATTATAACAATTATTATTATATTAGGTTGATGCATAGTTATTGCACGTTTTTTGATGTCAGTATTTATTTATATATATATTCAGTTTATATATATATTATTTGTTATATATTAATATATATTAAATAGTTATTATTATATATTATATATTTTTATACATTTCAGTATTTATATCTTTTTTGAAGTCAGTATTTATTTATTATTCAGTATTTATACATATTTTCTGTTATATATTATTTTATTATTTATTAAATAAATAATTTATATTATACATTTTTATATATTTCAGTATTTATATATTTTTAAAGCCAGTATTTGATTATTATATAATATACTTATATTAATTATATTATATACAAATATATTATATTGATATCCATATATAAATATTTATACCTTTTAAAATCATATTCTTGTTATACAATATTTATATATGTTGAATTTGATTAAGAAGGCTGCGTATAAACTTTTTGCATATAAACTTTTAATATACTTTGATATTATATTTATTTCCAATATTTTGCTGACCTATAGGGGTCAGCATTATCTGGTGTACACCTGCCACTATAGGTCAGCAAAATATTGGAAATAAATATATAATAATATCAAAATATATTTAAAACAAAAAGTTTATATGCATCCTTCTTAATCAAATTCTTAAAAAAATCAAGTCATATGGTACTGCACATAACGATTTTCCTCTTACAAGTCATATATAATCGGAAAGCTGATGATTATTTTTTTAATAACTTATTACTGCTTTGTTCTTTAAAAACATTGAATGCTCTTTTTAGAACAAACTAACATATTTGACATTATTGAGTAATTTGACATAGTTATATTGAGTTATAAATGTTGTTCAGTGTTGTTCAGTGTAGATAGACTTAAAACCTAAGCCCAAAAAGACCATTAGTACGATTATCTCGAAAAGCCATTCTCTTGATTTTGTTAAACTTTAAAAAACCAGACTTGTCCACATAATATATATATTCACATATATATATTATATATATAGTATTATATAAATATACACACACAAATATATAATATGTGTGTGTGTATGTATATTTATATAATATATTATTATATATATATATATACGTATTATAATATATTATTTATATATATATTATATATGTATACATATATATACATGTATATATATATATATATATATATATATATATATATATATATATATACATATATATATATACATGTATATATATGTATACATATATAATATATATATAAATAATATATTATAATACATATATATATATATATATAATAATATATTATATAAATATACATACACATATATATACATGTATATATATATATATATATATATATATATATATATATAATATATATATATATATATATATATATATATATATATATATATATATATATATAATATATATAATATATATAATATATATAATATATATATATAATATATATAACATATATGTAATATATATATATATATAATATATATGTAATATATATATATAATATATATGTAATATATATATATAATATATATGTAATATATATATATATATATACATGTATATAAATATATATAATATATATTAAATATATTATATATATATACATGTATATATATATATATATATATATATATATATATATATATATATATATATATATATATATATATATATATATATATATATATATATATATATATACATATATATATATATATATATATATATATATATATAAATATATATATATATATATATACATATATATATAAATATATATAATATATATTAAATATATATAATATATATTAAATATATTATATATATATATATATATATATATATATATATATATATATATATATACATATATATATAAATATATATAATATATATTAAATATATATAATATATATTAAATATATTATATATATATATATATATATATATATATATATATATATATATATATATATATATATATATATATATATATATATATATATATATATATATATATATATATATATATATATATACAGACTTAACTACTTGAGTTGTGTATAAATACCTATCTACTGAGGTTTCTTTCAATTGATTTTTAAGGTAATTTTTTTTTCAATTTGGTTAATTTGATATAATATCATTGTTTCAATTTTTCATTTTGTGAATCAGGTTAACTATCATAATAGATTACTGGAAAATCCTGCTCGAGTGTATTAAGTGTTCAATTAGTTGCAACTGAAAGTTCTGGATATCCATTGCTTTTAATTTTTCGTCAACCATGCATCCTTGTCAGTTAAGAAGACCACATTTCAATAAGGCTATGCAGCATTAAATCAATTTTTGTCTTTAAAGAAAATTTTGACCTTGCTTTTAGTGCTCAACAAATAGCCTTGTTTTTTAAATTGCTTATAATCAATATGAAATAAAAGATTTTGTTCAATATTTTTTTAATATGATTTAATAGCCTTCATCTAAACCCCTTATGATTTTCATTTGCACAATCAGGGCCTTCAAGCAGGAGGGGCAAAATGACCAAAGCCCCAAGCCTGAAGGAGCAGCATTGATCCGTTGACCCAGCATTGACCCAAGTTGACCCAGCGTTGACCCAGACATTGCGTTGACCCAGTTGACCAGCGTTGACCCAACATTGACCCAGGCCCCAAGCCTGAAGGAGCAGCATTGATCCATACAAATCCGTTAGTTTTTTTTTTACAATAAATATAAAACATTATGACTTTTTTATGAAGTTTTTGTATTTGGATCGAGTGTTTGGAGTAAAGATGTACACGAAAAAACTTGAATTTTATATTCTATTATTATAATTTTTTATATACTATTTTTTAAGAAAAAAATAGGATTTAGTTGTAATTGAATTAGATGGAACTGGACGTATTCCGTAAGCTCATCAACAGTTACCATACCAACTTGTGCTTGATTGCATGGAAGATGATGCGCTGTTGGAATTACAATAGTAGTTGATCAGTCCACTTATTGAAACAGTCAACACTAATATCACTGACAACTTTGTTAGATAGTGGGTAGAATGCACTACCAAGTTTCTCACCCATGAATCATGTTAAACCACCATCTCAAAATGATTTTCAGAAAATATGATTATGATAACTTTTGTTATTCTTTTTATCCTCAATAAAAGAGAAACTAATCGCTGGCAAATCAAATAATGATTCTTGTATGTTGAAGCTTTTGAGATGAAGAAAGGAGTCGATATAGCTAAGCTTATCACTAATTTGATTTTAAGGCTGGGTATAATTATTGGAAACAATCGTGATCAATGACATGATAATGGAATCAATATGTCATGTGCATATACAAAATCTCAAGCCTTAGTAAAGCAAAATTATTCGGAAGCTTTGTACATCCCTGTAGCGCTCACAGTCTGAGTTTGGCTGATGTGTACACAGTTAAGGCAGACATTAAGACCAAAGTATTTTTGAAAATGTTGAGTTTTATTACATATTATTAGTGCGAGTCTTGACCAATAGAAGATCCTCACTGAAGCAACAGGAATTTCACTGCATAGACTTTCTACGACAAGATAGAGCTCTTGAACTGACTTAGTAAAACCACTTGCCAAGAGAAATGTTGGCAGCTCTTAAACATGGCATGGAAAACCTGGATCTGACCAGTGAGCAGCTCCTCCAAGCAAAAAACTTAAAAAAATGATCATCATCTTTTGAATTTGTATTGCTAGCTACAATTTGGTACAAAACCCTTGCTGTTAATAACATTAGTCATCTTCTACAATCTGAAGCCATTACCATTAAAGACGAGCTGCATTTGATTAAACAACTGCTGGAAGATCTAAACACAAATTAAGGGATCATGGTTAGAAATTTTAAGAGGGTGTAAATTTAACCGCTAGGGCTCGAAACTGATTTCGATACTAAAAAAAAGCATAAACTAAAGCGCTTTTGATGCAAGGCATCAAACACAGCCCATTTCCACAACAGCCAAACAAAAGAATTCAAAGTAAAAGTTTTTAATATTGATTTAGATAGTCTGATGTAGCAGATTGATTTAAGATTCGAGGGAAGCAGGATGATTAACAATACGTTTTCATTGGTCTAGATGAATAATGATGATCTTTCCGTTTAAAATAAACCTTGAGAACTTGCACGGTCTAATC